ATCCCCGCACCCTGGCCCTCCGTGGCACATGCCCACACCCTGGCCCTCCGTGGCGCATGCCCAGACTCTGGCCATCGGCGGCTCCTGCTTCGCTGCTAGAGCTTTCTACCACTGGAGAGGGCAGAGAGGGAGGTGGGAGCAAGCCACCACCACCACCAGCGCAGGGAGCGCCATTCTGCACCCTCCACCATCTGCACCCGACTCCACAGCCCCCAGCACCTCCCAGCAGACAAGAGAGCAGACTGTCACCAAGATGGGAAGGGCACACCCCGCCTCAGCCCCTGCCCCAAGCCAGGCCTCCTCCCAAGTCGCCCAGCCCCACAAAGAGGAGCTGTGGGCACCAAGTGCCAGGAGAACACAATGGGGCCAGGTGGCTGCAAGTGGCAGGCAGCAGTTAGGGGAGCAGTGGGGGTGAGGGGCGTGGCTCTCTGCTGCTCCCTGACAGGCCAGAGAGACAATGGTGGGCCCCCAGGGAGCCCACATTCCAGGGCGCAGCAAGGTGGTTCTGTGTTCTCACCTGCCGAGCCCTGCTCCCCAGGGCCGGGCCTGTGAAGGGCCAGGGTGTCCCCGTGAATCCGGGGGTGTTTCATTAACATGCACACGTCTGTGGATCTCCGCCTCCTGGAGGGGTAGGCCGGATGCTGGCTGTGGGACCCCGCAGAGACAATCGCTGGGCCTGTGGCTCCACGTCCCGGGTGCTCCCGAGGTCTGTCATTCAGCTGCACCACTGGGAATGCTGGGACGAAAACGCCGCCGGCTCAGGGCCCACTGGGCTGCGTGCTGCCTCCTGGAGCCAAGCGCCGTCGTGCACCGGCAGGCTGGATGGGCGCCGCTCCTCGGCACGCAGGAGGCAGCCAGCCTCACCTTCAGACGAGGCCGTCTTCCACCCGCAAAGGAGGGGGACAGGTGAGGGGGACAGAGTCTTCCCCAAAGCCCCAGGGGGACATGGCAAAGGGACGGATGAGGTTTCCCAGGGGCCTGGTTTGGGCCACGTGTGGATAAGAGCTGCTGTAGCTGTAGGGTGACCTGCCTGCCAACCGCAGGCTGTCCCCCCACCCCCGCCTCCACCGAGGCCACGGCACTCACCTGGGGAAGCCTGGCTGCTCTGCGCCTTGCAAAGGGAAGGAAGGCGGGGGTAGGTGATGGGTCGGGAATGGGGGTCTCCTTCCACAGGGTCTCAGCCCTGCTGCGGCCGCCCTCCAACCCTTAGCTAGGCTCTCTCCCCAGGGTTGGTGCGGGGCAGGGGCACGGATCCCTGAGCCCCAGAGCCCAGGCGTCATGTGGGCTCATGGTCCCCTGAGCCCCTCGGGGCCCCCACCCGACCTCGTGCCCTGACGCTCGAGGGGGCCAGGAGGGCCCAGCCCGCGTGCAGACCCTGACAGCACCCAGGGGAGTGGGGCCTTCCTCCGGCCTCTGTCCCTCCCCAGGTCCCCGGCCGGGTGGCTGCTGGGGCAGAGGGGCCGGGCCGCCCAGCCCCACACCCCCTCCTGGGCGCGGCCCGTGCCAGCCTCCTCTTCCTTGGCTGCTGCCCAGCCAACCGCCCTCTCGCCCCCCGTCCAGACCAGCCTGGCCGCACTTAGGTGGCTCTGCTGTCGTCATGGGCCTGAGTTTGCCACCGCCGTGTGCCCGGAGCAGTGCCAGGCTGCCCTCTTCCTGCCGCAGACCCAAGCCTCCTGGGCCCCTGCGTGCAGCCCTCCCCTGGGCCCTCTGCTGCCACTGGGGAGCCTGCCCACGGCCTGCACAGGACACTTGACTGGTGACAGTGGTGCCACAGAGTCCCTAGTGCGCCGTGTGCCAGGCCAGCCTCCCCCTCACCTGCGCCTCGCCTTCGGCACCTACCAGCACACGCTCACTTCCAGCTCTGCCGCCTGCCCTTCCACCCAACATCCGCCTCAGCCTGGTCCTCCCGGGGGCCCTGGAGGCAGAAGCTGGCTGGTGCCAGGAGGGAGACCTCAGGTCAGTGACAGCTGAGGCCTTGTGGATGGGCAGGGGGAGGCAGCCAGCTGGTTCTGACTGTGACCCAGAAGGGGCAGGCCACCTCAGGGAGGTGCCAGGATCAGAGGCTGGGGTCAGCGGGGACCCAGAGTGGCCTTGCTCATGACCCGGTCTTGTGCCCCAGAGGTGCCATTTCTCTCCTTGTGCGTGGGGATCAGCTGGGGAGCTTGCTAAGCAGGCTCTGGGCACGCCCACCCTGGGAGCTGAGGCCCCAGAATACGCATTTGGAGGAAGCCTCCCCAGGGGCTTGTCATGCACAGGATGCTGAGAACCACTGTTGTAGCCCCCTGGCCCCTGCCAGGAAGCCCAGTGTTCAAGGCTACTCTCCGGGCGAGTGGGAGCCCAGGCCCTCCCCAGTCTGGTCATACCCAGATGCTCTGGGCCACAGAAAGACGTCCCTCCAGACCCCACCTGCTGCCCCGCTCCTGCCAGGGTCATGAGCAGAGGGATTCCCTGGTTCGGAGGGTGTGTGCCCAGAAGCCCAGGGACCCGCTGGAAGGAAGCCTCTGCGCAGACAACAGACTCATCACTGCAGGGCTGGGAGGATGTCAGGCTGCGAGAACCACAGTCCCCACGACCAGCCGCATGGATGTGGCATCAATGTGCCCAGCGCTGTGCCAACCAGCCCGTGCCCACCAGGTTCCTGCTGCTATCTCTGCAGACAGACTGAGTCTGCCCCCTGCTTGACCCCCCGCAACCCCAGGAGTTCGAGCAGGAAAATGTGGTGACCCCACAAGGCCCCTCATTATATCTCAGAACAAGGTCACATGTAGATCAAAACAGTGCGCCCCTCCCCCAGCACGGATGCAGAGGTTCCCTGTGTTTATTTCTTTGTAGAGGACAGAAGGTGAGGGCAGAACAGGGGGCCGAGAGGGGGGCTTCCTCAAGTCCACGGGGCTGCTGTTTCAACCTGTCTGTTTTTCAAGGCTGTGAAGTGGATTCACTGGCACGTCTCCTGCCCCAGGCCTGGGCGACGAAAGCCTCACCAAGAACAGAAAGCCACCACCACTGGCGTCCCCAGTGCCGAGGGTGGGTGGAGAGGCCCCTGATGGGGGCCCTGCCCCTCCCAGCCCCCCGGCCTGCAGCCTGGTCTCCCCCGGGACAGCACCCCCAGAGCTGAGTAAGTTAACATGTGAGACGCTCTGAGTAATGCCCAGCATCTTGTAGACGACCTGCTAATGCCCCCAGTGCCCCACATGAGTGGTGAGTCCCAACCCACAGACTAAGGTGTCTGAGGACTGTTTTCTCCAATCTGCAGGAGAAGGGAATCCTGACACCCGGGACCCAGGCCTCGGAGAGGGAGGGGTTTGGCCCCTGCGTGGTGGGACCATCCCTCCTGAGCTGGGCTGAGGCTCTGGACTCTTGCCCAGATGGTGACTTCCTGGAATCAGAGGCACCACTGCCCTGGCCATCATGCCATGTGGGCCAGGCCCACATCCCAGCCGCCGTCACCCCAGGCTCCCAAGCCACCTGGCAGGTTTGGTCCAGGTATCCTGGGAGGCTGGGAGCCCCTGGGGCTGATCCGCCTGTCCAAGGACACCTCGAAGCTCCTGCTCGGTCCTCCCCCCAGCAGAGCTACAGGCAGCCAGCTCATCTCCACCTCCCGGACACGGTCTTCGGTCCCAACTCCTCAGTTTGGGGAAACAAGACCCAGAAGAGGAAGCAGCCTGCAGCTCTGCTTCCAGCCCCCAGATATAAACTCCCCCCGAGCACGGGGAACAGAAGAGGCACAAAGCCCTTCTCACCCTCCTCACTGCGACTCCCCCCAGGGACCCTTGAGTGAGTGGGAGTGGCTCCCATCCTACACAAGCCCCGGCATGAGGCATCCCCAAGAGGGGCAGGAGGGCCGAGGAGCCCGAAGGGACACCCCAGACAGAGCTCCCATCACCCGCTGGCCCCGGGCTGGCCCAGGTGCCCTCAGCCCCACCAGCAGCCCCTGACCCCCTCCCAGTCCTGGCCCTTCGCCTTGTCTGCAGCAGACCCGGGTCAGCAACCCTCTGTGCTCATTCCCTCCCAGAGAGCCCGCCCCATATCCAGGGATTTGGGGGGCTCTAAATTCCTCCTTATTGCCCATGGATCTGGGGTCATTCTCCCCAAGGAGCCCCAGAAATGCAGCATCCCCTGGGGTCTCCATGGGAATGGCCCGACCCCACCCCTGTCATGGGCGTGGCCGCAGGTGCGTGGCTGGAGAGCCCACGTAGCAGGTGAGGTGTTCTCTAGGCTGGCTGACACCTGCCCAGCAGCCCCATCCTGTGGGTGCGAAGACCTCAGGACCCTGGGGCTGGGTGGCCTGTCCTGGGAGCTGGAGCTGAGGGCCAAGCGGGCAGCAGAGCTTCCAGGCTCCACCGGGCAAAGACAACCTTGACCTCCACGCCCTGGCCGCACCCCTGACCGCAGGCCTGCTGCACCTCCCCTTCTGCCCCCAGAGCCACAAGGGTCCCACCTGCAGAGCCCCGGCCAGCCTCAGCCCCCAGCCCTCACCCTGAACGATCCGGAGGCTGTGCTGCTCTAAGAAAGAAGCCCCTTCCCCAGACTCAGCCCACGTCCGAGTCAGGTCGGGAGGGGAGGAGCTCAGGGTCCCAGGAGGCCTGCCCGGACAGAGCCAGGGCCCACCTGAGCCCCCAGCACCAGGACCCTGGGACCCCTGGGGCTGTTCTGGCAGGGACGGTGTCCCCAGGAGCAAGCACACCACTGCTCGGGCGGCCAGTCATTCCCAGGAAGGGTGTGGGGCCCTGTCCCGCCTTGGGGGCCTGCTTGGGCTCCCCCCCACCCCCAGTGTCTTCAGAGCCATAAGGCAGCCTGGCGGCCAGGGGCCGGGGAGGACACCCGCCATTCCCCGCCCACCCCGACTTGGGTGGAAGTCTGCAGGCTTTCATCATGTTTCCCTGTGTGAGGCCGCGCTCAACGCTCAGCTATTTAATTATCTCAGAAGTTGGAAAAACACAACAAAAATACTCAACCTAAAACATGAAATCTATTTGAGAATTATCTTCTTGTCATGAAATTGCTCAATTCCTCAGAAGTCCTGGACTCTTTCACCCCCAGACACACTCCCGCCCCCTCCCCCCAGTGCCTGGGCTGGGGGCCCGTGGGGGGACTTGTTCTGGCAGCTCCACCGGCCGTGGGGCTTCCACTGGCCCATCTTGCTCCCCACCCACCTCTAGGTGCAGTCATGGGCCGAGCTGGTTACTCCGAGGGAGGGGTATTTTTAGAGAAAAGGCCTAATTCTTTAAAACTCCTTTTACAGCTAATGGATAAACATAATAAAAGCTGGCATCTGCCAAGTCCCTACTACACACTGGGCGTGGAACTGGGCATGGAATCTGCAGGGCACCATGTAAACTTCACAGTTTAGCTGTGGGAAAGGGACACTTGGGGAGACGGAGCCCCCAGGCCGGGCCCCAATGGGGGCAGCAGGGCTCAGTGCCGGCCCAGGGGGTCTAGCTTCCAGGCGTGTCAGCACTCCCAGCCTAGGGTCCTCCCTAGGCTCGGGGGCGGGAGGAGGCCGGTGTCTCCCCGAGGGCCCCCAGCAGTCTGCCCCCTCTTACAGAGACCCCTGAGCAACACCGCATGGACTCAGACACACCGGCCCCTTGATGCGGGTGCTGCCAGTCCTGACAGTGCCAGTGCCACCATGCAGACGTGCCCTCAGCACCGAGCCCTCCTGCGGACAGGCCAGCGTCCTGCACATGGCACAGGGACATCCCACTGCCAGGGAGTGGGGCGACCCTCTTCCACCCCCATTCCCCTCCTGGTCCTGGGGGACCTAGGCTGCCTCATGTCCCCCCAGCTCTCAGAGTTGGGCCAATTTTGTCCTGAGGCTCAGGGGGGTGGTGGCAGTGGAACCCGTGGGGCCAGCAGGTTCACTGGGGAACCCGCCCACACCCCGGTCCCTTTTCCTCGGCTCCCCCAGCATGTGCTTCTCGGAATGCCCATGACACACCCACTAGTGACAAATCCGTCCCTACGCCTGTGTGCTCGTTCACGAGGGCAGAGAGGAGCCACGGCCGCAGCTGGGCCCAGGGCAGACTGAAGTCGCCCATTGCGCATGCCAAAGAGGTGCCAGCCCTGTTCCCCGGGAAGCCTGGCCAGGGCTGGGACTCGGGGCACCCCGCTGCTGGACCAGCTCCAGAGGACCCGCTGGGTTAGTGGCCCTCGGTGGTCCGGGTGACAGCTCAAGGCTGCAAGGGTCAGGGCAGCCCCAGGTGCTCCAGCCTAGCTGAGCTCCGGGCAGCAAGACAGGAGAGTATCGGAGAGATGGGCGGCCCAGCTCGAGTCCCCCACTGCCAAGGGTCTGTGCGGCCCTGGACAAGCTGTGGCGTGCGCTCTGCCTCGGTTTCCCCATTGTAAGTAGCGGCAAGGACACGGCGAGCTCAGCGGCAGAGCCGTGGAGTAAATGAGATGCTTCCTAGGGAGCAATTCCACAGCGCCTGCATGACTGTGTCAGTGTCCTGGGGCGGCCGGAGCAAATGGCACAGACCGGGTGGGGGGTGCCGCTTGACACAACAGACTTCCACTCTCTCAGTCTGGAGGCCAGCGTGTGCCCTCCAGGCGTCTGGGCCGCACTCCCTCGGCTCCCAGGGGGGCCTCCCTGCCTCCTGCAGCTTCTGTGGCTCCAGGGTCCTGAGCATGTGGCCCCGTCCCCTGGCCTTGGCCTCTGTGGCCACATGGCCCCTCCCTGTGTGTCTGCCCTCTCCTTTCTCTTATAGGGACACTTGTCATTGGACTTAGAGTCCCCCTGGGGCATCCAGCATGACCTCATCTCAAAACCCTCCCTTACCTCTGCAAAGACCCGCCCCCCCATAAGAGCACATTCACAAGTTCCAGGGGCTGGTCCCGGACATGTTTTTGGGGGTGATGCCCCCCATGCCCGTGTGTGCTGCTATCATTACTGCCGACATTCTGCTCCAGCTTGTGCCAAGGGCCCTGCCACACGAGGCCCCACTCGCAGCAGAGGGCCGAGAGGAGGCGACATTCCCTTGGGTGAGGTGGGCAGACAGTCAGCCAAGAGAGAAAGCGCAAGCTGGCCCAGGAGATGGGCAAGTGTGGAGTGAACAGCAAAGGGGTGGCAGCTGGGCAGCCTGGGGTGGTCTGAAGCACCAGGGCCAGGCACAGCTCCAGAAAAGGGACCTTTGAGGAGAGGATGGGCCTCCAGAGATGCCAAGGCGGGTCCGGGGTGCTAGCACACTGCAGGTGGTGGGAGGAGATTCATCATGTCTGTGGACAAACAGCATCTTTACGACATGATTCTGACTGTTGAACAGTCCACAGGGAAGGTAATTCCTTGTCGGGAACATTTCAGTGTGCAGGGCTCACTGAAAGTATTTTAACCCCAAAGAGTCCGAGGCCAGCAGGCAGATGGTAAGCGTGGGCCCTTAGGAAGGGGCCCCAGCTCTGCAGACCGCCCGGAGCAGCACCCACCGGTGGCCTGTCACGGATCCAGCCCCAAGCCAGCTGCCAGGCTGACCATGAATTGTCCATCTGAGCAGAGGGGAAACTGAAGCATGGAGGGGTCAGGTCATTCTTGCAAAGCCTCACAGCCAGAAAGGGTCCGGCTGTGCTCGTGAGCAGGAGCTGCCCAGAAGGTATGGTCCCCCGGACCAGGGGCCCAGGCTGCCCAGTCCACTCTGAGCGCCAGGCAGCAGGGTCCGTGTGCAGGGCGGGCTGAGGAGGAGGGGCAGGGCCAGCCACCCCGCCCCCCGAGGATGGGAGGGTTTAGGGCCGGGGTGGTGAGTGCAGCTGTCCTGGCCCGGCCCAGAGACGTGCTGACAGCAGGTGAGGAGGCTGCAAGGCTCCCGGGGACAGAGGCCAGACCCCTTCCCCGCCCTGGGCACAAGGACAGCCACAGAGGAGGGTGCTGGGCAGGGAGGCTCAGGGCTGCTGCAGAAGGCCCCGGGCACAGGGCACGGTGGGGCCTTAGAGGCATGGGGCCTGGTGGGTGGGGTGGGGCTCTGGGTGTCCCTGGCAGGGGCACAGCCCAGCAAAGGTGTGGTAGCAGGGACACGCGGTGCGGCTTGGGAGCTCTGTCTGTCTGTCCCTGTCTCTCCCTGTCTCCCTCCATCTCTCTTTCTCTCCCCCTCTCTCCCTCTCTGCCCATCTCTGTCTCTGTATTCATCTCTCTCTGTCTCTATTTCTCTCTGTGTGTGTCTCTCCTCCCCCCACGGCACCCCCACCCCACAGCAACTAACACAGAGCGGGGTGCGAAGGGCTCCCTGGCTGCATCCCCCAGACCTGTGTGGGTCGGGATGGAGGTGGGGATGCTCTGAGACCTTCCATGACTGGGCCGGGCTCCCAGTGCCCATTTCTCCCTCCCCTCGGAGGGCACAGGCCTGGACCAGAGCAGGACTCTTCTCAGAAGCAGCTGGCTGCACACACCTGTGTTAGCGTCTCCACAGAGGCCCCGGCCCTGCAACCTGTCCCCAGAGACCCCATGCCTGCTTTGAGGCTGCAGAGCAGAGCCGTGCGGGCCCCCCTGTGCCAGGGCCCCAGGGCTTAGCCTCTGCTTGGGCCAGAGCCTGCAGGCATGGTCAGCGCCTCCCCTGCCTTCCCACACCCTCCCAGCTGCCGGGTGGCCCCCAAACATCTTCCCTCCTCCCTTCTCCCCCCGCCAGCACAGGACAGTGTCCTCAGGGCCACCACTGCACACCACCCAGCAGGCCCCCTAGGGTGGGGGATTTAGCAGGAGTGTGGCCCAGGCCCTCTGGGCAGGAGGCCCCCAGCAGGGCCCCTGATGGTGGGGGGAGGAAGCCCCTGCCCGCGTGAGCCCACTGCTGGCCTCTGCCACCTCACACCTCACCATGCAGGGCCTGTGAATCAGTGCCCGTGCCAGCACCAGTCTGCCCATCCAGCCTGGAGGAGGGCAGGGCCTTGACCCGCCCAGCCCCGCCCTGTCAACCATCACTATCTTCCCAACGCCCCTCTTACGGAGAGGCGGTGAGCCGCAGGGCTTGGCCATCCACAGGGAAGGGAGGCCCCCACGCCGCCTGGGGGCCCGTCTGGCTGCACTGGGGGACCCGTGCACTGCCGGACTCTGTCGCCTCTTTCCAGGGCCCTTCCTGCCCGCCCGGGAGCCAGCCAGCATGTTCGGGCTCTGGAGAACCTTCAACAGCGTCGTTTTCTACCTCACCCTGGCCGTCGGCCTCGGAGGCCTGGTGGGCAACGGGCTCGTCCTCTGGCACCTCGGCTTGCACATCAAGAAGGGCCCCTTCTCCGTGTACATCCTCCACCTGGCCGCCGCGGATTTCCTGTTCCTCGCCTGCCAGGTGGGCTTCTCCGTCGTGCAGGCCGCCCTGGGCGCCGAGGACACCCTCTACTTCGCAGTCGCCTTCGCCGGGTTCTCCGTGGGGCTCTGGCTGCTGGCGGCCTTCAGCGCCGAGCGCTGCCTCTCTGCAGTCGTCCCCTCCGGCTGCCAGCGCTGCCGCCCCAGACACACAGCGGGCGTCGTCTGCGGCCTGGTCTGGGCCCTGGGCCCGCCGGCCGTGCTGCTGACCAGCAACGCCTGCGGCCTGCTGCGCAGTAGCGCGCGCCCCCTGACCTGCCTGCGGTACCACTCGGCCAGCGTCGTGTGGCTGCTGTCCCTGGTCTGCGCGGCCTGCGTGGCCGGACTCGTCCTGTTCGTCTGGGTGGCCTGCTGTTCCCAGCGCCAGCGCCCCAAGTTCTACGGCATCGTCCTGGGCTCTGTGCTGCTGCTCCTCTTCTGCGGCCTGCCCTTCGTCCTCTACTGGAGCCTGCGGCCCCTCCTGAACCTGCTGCTGCCCGTGTTCCCCCCGCTGGCCGCCTTCCTGGCCTGCGTCCACAGCAGCTCCAGGCCGCTCGTCTACTTCACGGTGGGCCGGCAGCCCGGGAAGCGGGAGCCGCTGCGCGCGGTTCTCCAGAGGGCCCTCGGGGAGGAGGCCGCGCTGGGGGCCGCGTCCCTGCCCATGGGCCTCATGTAGGGGCGGCTGCCCCCACCCCACCCCTCGCCAGACCCTGCCAGGACTCTGTCATCCCCCCTACCCGCAGCGCACTCGCCCTGGGGCCCCAAGGGCTGAGGACAGAGTGACAGCTGTGGTCCCCCAAGGCCCAAACAGGGCTAAGGCCGCACTGCTGATTGGTCCCCGAAGGAGCCGAAGGGACACCCCCGGGTAACCACCCACTCCCCGCCTTCCCAACAGTCTCCGCACGGGCCACCAGATGGCGCCACTTCCTCACCAAATGCCCCCAAAAGCTGGCTGCCAAAAGGGGTTCCGGGGGAGGCTGGTGCCACGCGCCCTCCCTGCCCCTCCAGCCCCATCGCCCTCCGACACCTGCTGCCAGGAAGGCGCTCCCGCCCCCAACCCCATCCCTAACGTCCCCTCCGCCCAGGAATCCGTGGCTCCCTGCCACCCGCCCCGTCCCTGCACACCCTGCCCAGCCGAGGTTTGTCCCCCGTAGGGAAGCGGGAGAGGGGACGGCGGGAACCCCAGCCAGATGCTTCACCTTTCAGAGCACACGTCACCTTATGTGGTTTCTGATGATCAAAAAACCAGTTCCCGGTCACTGTCAAGACGTCTCAGCCATGCAGAAAATGCTGAAAAGACAAATTACCAAAACTCTGGATCCGGAGGGAGACGACTGGGCCTAAGTCCCTGTCGTGTTTATGTTCTTAATGGAGACCCACAGACATTCCAAGTTTTACCAAAAATGGAGACATTCTAGACGTGCCGTGTGGAACCCGTGACAACAGCATTTTACAATCACAGAATCGCTTTTAAGAGTCATGAGATTTTTTTTTTTTGACTAGAAAAGTTTTGTGCTGTCATTACGGGAGCTTTGGAGCACCCAGAAGCAAGAAGGAAAGCCCACCTGTCTCCACCCCAACCACCTTCTTTACAGGCTTCCTGCCCTCCCGGGGTTCTGGCCCCACAAGCCCCCCTTACGCCGGATGATTCCAACAGAGGGAGGCAAGGGCCCCTCAAGCCAAAGGCCAGCTCGGGAGGGGGAAGGACCCCGAGCCCTGGTAGGTAGAGGAGGCTTGGATTTGGGGGGCAGGAGGGACTGTTCATTCCTGTGTCCCTTCTAGCCAGACCCCAAGGAGGGGTGTGGTTTCCTTCTTGGGAGGCCTGGAAATGAGATCAGGGTGGGAAGCAGTCACCCAGGTGGGGTGCCCCAGCATCAGTCCCATCCTCCCAGCCCCAGGAAATGGCTGCTGCAGGGCATCCATCTGTGTGCCGGTGGGGACAGATGGCAGCCGGGCGGCTGACTGTGTCTGGGGAATGGATTAATATACTGGTCTAGACAGGTGGGGAGTGTGGAGACCTCTGGCCCCACAACCCACTGCTGGGGTGTGGGACACCAGCCTGAGCTCCAAAGACCTGGCGAGTGTCCCGGGTCCTGGAGAAGCACGCGGTCAGCTGAAGGGACAGAGCTGTCACCAGGCTGGTCTCTCAGCCTGCTGGCACCGCCCTAGCCAGGTGACCTCCAGCAGTCACCTGGCTGCGAGAGACCCTTCTGCATAAGGCGCGGAGGAAATTCTCCATCTGGATCCCAGGGGGGACCAAGGCAAGGCAGTCGGGCCACAGAAGAGGGTGGACCGTTTCTGCCCGCTCATCCTGACCTTTAAGGCCAAATGCGTCACCTCTCCCATCTCCATTTCCGGGCAGAGCTCCAGCTGTCCCCAGCAGCCCTGTCCTTGGCTCGCCCACCGCGCTGGCTGCGGACGTTCTCACCCTTGGCAGGTCCTGCCCAGCCATCAGGGTCTGCCCTTGCATCGGCCTGTCCTGTGAGCCGGCAGCTCCCTGGCGGCGCGCGGTGGCGTCAGCTCCTCTGGTGGAGCCGCCTCGGCCGAGCACCCAAGGTGGCCACCTGCCCAGAACAGCCTGGGCCCCCTCCGCAGGCTTCATTTCTTACATTCCTGTCTGCTCGCCTGTCCGTGCCCATGTCTCTCCAGAAGGGGAGCTCCTTGAGGTCAAGGGGCCTGGTGGCTCTCCCACCACTGCCTCCCCACTGCTGAGGAACCAAGGGGCCGGGAGCAGGGGCTTGACAAGCACTTGCTGAACGGATGGGTGGATGGGGACTGCATGGATGCTGGGGTCAAACGAATCAGCGATATGGCCGAATCAGAGTGCAACACCACAAAATCACACCAGGCTGCTCCTGGGCCCTGGAACCGTCCGGACCAGCCCAGTCCTGACCCCCGACCTGAAGCCTGGGAAGGCTGTCAGATTCGGGAGGGCCCAGGTTGCTCACTGCAGAGTGCAGCCACCCCAGGCCCCTCGCCCTCCCTTGACCACACTCTCCCCATTAAGCCAACCGGTATCATTAGAGCCAACTCCATCCTGGGCACTGGGTGGGAGCTCGGGATGTGGACGCACCACGGTGTGGCCTCTGGCCCCGAGGAGCTTGGTGTCTGGAGAAGGGACAGACACAGTGATGCAGCTGGAAGACAGGGTGTCCGGGTGTGCACAGAGGTTTGCAGACTTAGGGAGCGTCACTGTTCCCATTTGCCCTTGATATCCCAGTTTATGTGTTAGGGAAGCATGGAGGAGGGACACATATTCCTACTTGGAAAGCAGGGGAGGCTTCCAGGAGGAGAGGGTGCCTGTCTGACCTTGCACAGGTGGTGGTGGGAGGGGAGGGCTGCCACCGTGGGGAAAGTAAGGAAGGTCTAGGACACAGGCACCTGCTCTGAGAAGAAGAGAGAGATGGGGATCCCCACAGGAGGCTGCTGGCAGCTGGGCCCTGGGACAGCATGCACCAGACCTGGGGGAGACAAGGGACACAAGGCACACCTGCGGCCTCCCTCCCAGGTCTGCCTTTCCTGAGGTTCCTCTCAAATTAAACATGGCTCATGTGAAACAGTGGTCAAGGTCCGATCAGTTTGGCTCTCTTTTTCCCATATGGATATCCAGTCATTCTAGAAACATTTGCTGAAAAGACATTGACACCTTCATTGTAAATCAATTGACTTCAGCATTTGAAAGGTGTCATTACATGTTATTTGGCTCCCACCATTTCAGATGATAGTAAGTCAGATTTCATTTTATCATTGATTCCTTCAATGTAGTGTATCTTTTTTCCTTTGGGTGCATTTGAAAATTTTACCTCTGCATTTTAGCAGTTCAACAATAAATGCTTAGATAGGTTTTTTTTTTATTATTGTTCCACTTAGGATTCACTAAGCCTCCCCAGACTATAGGTCCATCTCTGTCAACAATTGTCAGCTTTTCACCACTTCTCTCTGTAAATATTTTTTCCAGTCCTATGCTCTCCCTCTTATCCTTCTGAGACTCCAGTTACACCCATTTTGGGTCACTGATATGGCACCATGCTCAGGGATGATACCGGGTGATATAATTATTAAATCTTTCTGTGCTTCAGACTAGATGATCTGTGTTTCTCTACCTTCAGATCCATTGATCCTTTCCTCTACTGTGTCCATTAAACTGTTAAGCCCATCTGTTGAAATATGCTATTGTGATTTTCACTACTTGAATTTCTATCTGATTTTTTATAGTTTCCATTTCTTTGTTGACGTTTCCTGTCTGTTCACCCATTCTGTCCAAGTTTCCCTGTAAATCCTTACACATATTTATAATCGTTCTTTAAAAGTCTTTATCTGATTCTCCAATATCTGGGTCATCCATGAGTCTGCTAATATTGACTGCTTTTTTCTCTTGATTATGGGTTACATTTATCTACTTCTTTTTATGGGTAGTGATTTTTATTGTGGATGATACATTGTAAATACTCTGAATTGTGGTATCTTCCTCTAAAAAATGTTAAGTTGTTTTGGCAGACAATTAAGTTACTAATAGATCACCTTGATCCTATGGCAACTTGGCTGTAGGATTTCTTGAGGTAGGTTCACCCTTGGTCTTCACCCTCCTGGTGTGTGGCCTATACTCCTCACGTGTGGCCCTTCTGGGATGGCCGTGGAAAGCCAGAGGTATTCATTTGCAAAGCTTGTCTAACTTGGCCAGAGTTGGACTCTAAACTCTGGGTCCCCAGCACTTGGCAGCGGCTAAAAACCTTTGCCCGGCCACGTCACCTCTCGCCGCGGCCATTCCCTGGCTCCTTGCAGTCTCTTCCTGAGTGTGCCCAGTTCAGGAACTGCCAAGGATCTGAGGGGCATTTGTACACAAATTTGGGACTCTCCTCTCTGTGTGTCCCTCCATTCTGGAATTTTCTCCTTTCACTTCCAGGCCCTCTGGTGTCCCCCAATTCCCACCTCTGTCTTCCAGCCGCCTGAGGCTAAATGCTTTCTACTTGGGCTCCGTTCTCCAGCGCACCACAGGAAAAGAGCTAGATAGAGGTAGCACTCAATTAATGCGTCTCCTGGGATCATGTGGTGGTCTGAATAATCCCCCCAAAACATGTCTACCCCCTCTGTGATGTAAACACTCCATATGAACGCATAGATGAGCAAAATGGATTTTGGTTAATGATACAACGAAATGCTGCCTACAAGTGACACACTACAAGTGGCACAAACAGGTTGAATGTAAAATCATGTATCATGCAAACAATAACCAAAAGAGAGCTGGAGTGGCTATACTATTTCCAGACAAAATAGACTTTAAGGAAACCATTGTTACTAGAGATCTACCAGACATTTGTTGATGATAAAAGGATCCACCCATCAAAAAGACACGACTATAAACACGTGCTTGAGGGATGCCCAAAAATATCCCCCTAAAAAATACCCATGCAATCTGTGGATGTTATCATATATGACAAAAGGGACTTTGCAGATGTGATTAAATCACGGATCTTGAGATGGGGAGATTACCCTGGATTACCTGGGTGGTCCCAATATAATCACAAGGATCCTTATAAAAGGGAGGCAGGAAGACCCGAGAAAGAAGGCAGGCAGGACGGGGACAATGGTGCACAGTCTGAGACCGAAGGTGCCGCCCAATGACTGTGAAGAAGGAGGACGGGCACCAAGCCCAGGAATGTCGGGAGCCCGTAGGAGCTGGAAAGGGCCAGCCAGGAAAGGGGTCCTCTCCACAGTACAGCTCACCCCTCAAGGGTCCGGCCTCCAGAATTCTCAGGTAATAAATCTGTGTTGCTTTACGGCACCAGATTTGTGGTCATGCGTTACAGCGGCAAAACTGGGAACTGATACAGTCTGTGTCTTTGCTTTTATTTGCTTTCATGTCTGCAAACAGTGGCTTCTTTTCCCCCACCCCGAGTTTATGGATATCGAGTAGCAGGAGAATAAGTCTGGTATCATTCTAGAAACAGAGCTCATCTCACCCTTTTTCTAACTGGAAAGAATCACGATGACTCCGAATTCCAGAACACACATGTCCCCAAGGCTTTGGGGCCCGCCCCAACCTCACAGGGCTGTGCGCAGACCGGACGGCTTAAACGAGACGCATTTAATTCTCATAGTCCTGGACGCTGGAAGTCTCAGATCACAGTGCCAGTGTGGCTGGCTTTGGTGAGGGCTTGCTTCCTGGTATGCAGACAGCACCTTCTCCCTGTCCTCATAGGGCAGAGGGAGAGCCCTCCTCCACCCCTCTTCCTACCTGGGGTGCCGACCCCATCCTGAGGGCTCTGCCCTCGTGACCTAATGGCCTCCAAATACCATCAGTTTGTGGGGTGGGGCTTCAATATATGAATTCTGCATGTAGCAGTTACGTTCAGAAGAATGCGAAGGGGGACCCAGGCCTCTGACTTACAGGTGAATCGGGGGCTCCAATGCAGGCTGGTGGGCTGGTACCTGGAGGGGCTTGGGGGCCTGTCATCGCCTCCCCAAGCACCTGCTCCTGTGGCCTCGGGGGCCGAGTCTGTCTCACTCAGGTCTGGGTACTGCTTCCAGTACAGGCCCGACACGAGGCAGGAGCTGGGCGTCTGCAGGGTGGTGCCGACATGGGAGCCAGAGGAGAACTGCTCTGAGGCCCAGGGAAGACTTCAGCAGGGGCCGCCCCACCCCCTGCCCTGGAGCAGTGCCCTGGCATCCCTTCTGCCAGCTGACCTTTGCCAGCCAGAGCTTCCTTGGGACTCATCTGTCTGCATTTGATCACCCCCAGTGGGTGCCCGGGGCACCAGGGCAGGGGCTTTGAGAGACCGCACTCCCCCAAACTGGCCGTTTGCAGCTGCTGACAAGGAGCCTTCACACTGAGACCACCCAGCACCTTTGCACCAGGGACCCTGCAGCCCAGAGCTGACCAGACGCCCAGGCAGCCCTCGGCAGGCATCCTTTAGGCAGCTTTGCTGGCATTCGCAGGAACTATAGCTTTTTAAATTAGCTGCCAGAACTTAATGATTGGGGAATTTCACATCAAAATCCAGCTTTCTGGCTTGAGTCAGGGGCTGGCAAACCTCACAGCGTGGCTACCGAGCCACAACAGAGGGGCTGGCTGCGTGCAGGCCTGCCTCCCGCTGCCCTGGGGCCCCTTCTCTGCTCTCACCACGAGCCCTGACATCCTGCCTGCAAGGCACTGGGCTTTCCTAGGTTAAAGAGGAAACTGGGTCGTTTTGCTCCTATTTTGGGGTGGGGAGTTGGGAAACACAGACCTGGGGAGACCTCTGTTTCAAGAAAACAGGAGAGAGCTCATTTCCTTGTGAATGTGTGGGCCTGTCTTCATGTTTCATATGCAATGAAATGTGTGTGGCACTGAATTCCCCTGCAAGGTGAGGGTTCACCCGGCCCCGACTAGAGCCCTGCACTCCACAGAGGGGCACACTGAGGGAAGCGGGGCCTGCCTCAGGTCACACAGCTCAGCAGCCGCAGAACTGGGCCTTGCTGACACATGTGTGGACCACCTTGGGATGCCACGTGCTCTGGGGCATCTGATGAGGACCTTCGTGCCCCAGCTGCGCAGGGCCAGAGGAGCCATGGCGGCTCAGGCTTGTTAGAGATGACCCCGCCTGCCAGGCAGACAACATGTGGGCCCTCCAGCACAGGGGCAGCAGGTGGCCTGCGGCTGGGGTAATGGCCTGGAAGAGCTGGCCTGCAGGATGAAGGCAGCTGGCCACAGAGATGCCGAGGAAGGACATTCGGTGGCTTTCCGCGGGGAGCCAGGCCCTGTCTTGCCAGAGACTAGCGAGCCCAGAGCAGACAGACGGCAGTCTGTGCCCAGTGAGCAGGCCGGCCCCTCATAGGGCAGCCTCTCTGGAGCGGATTGGAGGACAAGTTACTCCCTGTTCCAAAATAGAGCCTCCACCATCCCCACGGAGTCTGAAACCACCTTGAGCATCACACTGTGAGGGTAAGAGGGGATAAACGATTTGGCAAATTAGACAGGGAAATGGCAGAGTGGACACTGGCTCCCAGGGCTGGCCAGAAACCACGAAGGGGGAAGTGCAGGTTTTTAGGGTTGAAGATGGCCCCAGCTGACATGCTGAGAGACAGTGGGGGGGCCCACTAGGCTCCAGGGGAGCCCAGCGATGCTGCCACCACCCCCAGGTGCCTCCCCACATCGTCCCCATCCCCACCACCACCATCTTCATTCTCCCCATTTCCCTTGTCACCAGTTTCCATCTTCCTCATCATCAAGGAATCCCCACCTGCCTGCCCAGGATGAAGGAAGGAGGGAGGCAGAGACCCAGCCCACACCACCACCACGCTCCACATCTCAGCTCACAGCTTGCCCTACGCCCATTTCCACGCACCTCAGCCGTCCCCCAGCCCCCCGCACACATGCAGCCTCCTCCACTGGGCAGATGCCCAGCTTCCCCGGATTTGACCCCAGCGGTCTGTAAATGGCTCCATGATCGGGCCTCCTCACTGGTCTCACACAGGCATGCACACGTGCACGCACACTCACTCTCAACCCCCTGCACCGTGCGGGATCCCTGAGCCCCCTTTGGCCACAGCTGCGTCTCCCCTCTGGGGTGTGATGGGGCTCACCTTCTCCTGAGCCAGCCTCTCAGGGACAAGCCACTGAGCCTCACAGGGACTCCGAGTCCACATCTGTGACCCCTGCCAGGAAGCATCCTCAGGAGGGTCAAATGGGAGAAAGAATGTTTCCCAGTGTGATTATTGAGCACTGACTATGTGCCCCAAACTCAGCTGCACCTCCCTACAGAGAACACCCCTGACATCCGCATGCGGTCAGGTAAACTGAGGCATGGAGAGACAGA